CGCAGGCGGAGAGGGAGGAGGGCGCTGTGGAGGAACTAACGCGCCCCTTCTGCATCTGGCCCGCAGGTAAAAGTATGGTTTCAGAACCGGAGGACGAAGTTCAAAAGACAGAAGCTGGAGGAAGAAGGTTCAGATTCGCAACAAAAGAAAAAAGGGACGCATCACATTAACCGGTGGAGAATCGCCACCAAGCAGGCCAGCCCGGAGGAAATAGACGTGACCTCGGACGATTAAAAACACAACCCGAACCCCACGGAAACGGACAGAGCGGAGCAAAACAGAGGACGGGGAGAGGCGGGGAAGAAGAAAACACGCTACAGAACAAAAACAAACCGCACACACACATTCGCCGAGAAGGGGAGAGGGAGTCGGAGGGACAGCGGAGAGCGTGTCGCAGACTTTGGGCCGCGAGGGCGCAGGTCCCTGACCGGAGGCCGCGCCATGATGGCAGAGGATGGAGGCTCCTTGATCAACATGCAACCCTTGTCTAAAGAGGCAGCTGAGAGAGAGAGAGAATGAGAGAGAGAGAGAGAAAAAGAGAGAGAGAGATCTAAAGGTGGCCAAGCAGCAGGCGCTCTGACAAGGGGAGCTGTCAGTCAAAGGCCCAACCAGCGAGACAAGATGATTGGCAGGTATTCCGTTTATCGCAGTCCGACTTTATTTTTCTTTGTAAAAAAAGATAATAATGATGATGATAAAAGGAAAAAAAAGCAACCAGGCACAGGACTTTTTATTTTGCACTTCACAGTGTCCCCCTACCCCACCCCCAGTCTTTAAAAATAATCAGTAATAATAATGATGATCGAAATTTCATATCCAGCCCCATCCCACACATGTCCAAAAACTTGAATTGCATGTAGCAGTTGTTGGGCGAATGGTGTCTAAAGACAGAAAATGAATTGTAACTTTCTTTTCCTTTTAAAGACAGGTTCTGTGTGCTTTTGATTTTGAGTTTTGATTTTCGAGAAATGTGCAGTCTGTAAACACGTTTTGATATCTTCTGATGTCAAAGTGATTGTGAAAGCTAAACTAGTAGGCTCAGCGATAGTGGTCCTCTTACAGAGAAATGGGGAGCCGGATGGGGGGCAGGGGGTGGCTGGGGAGGGTGCCCACAAGAGGAGTCAGGATTTGTGTTGGAAAAAAAAATACCTAAATTAATTCTATTTCTTGGACATTCCCTTCCCTAACATCCCAAGGCTTAAAATCATGAAGCAAACTCCTTTTAGTGGTTGGAGATATTGGCTGAGTTCAACCATTGACTGCAAAGGCCATTCCAAACTTCAGATCGATCGATTGCAAAAACCGAAGGACTGTAGTTAGCGGGGATGATGCTAAGTGTGGCCAAAGACATGGCGGCAAGTTTTCAAGCACTGAGTTTCTATTCCAAGATCACAGACTTACTAAAGAGAGTGACAAACGCTTCCTTAATGTCTTCTATACCAGAATGTAAATATTTTTGTGTTTTGTGTTAATTTGTTAGAATTCTAACACACTATATACTTCCAAGAAGTATGTCAATGTCAATATTTTGTCAATAAAGATTTATCAATATGCCCTCAGAGTAGTTGTCTTGGGAAACCAAAGTCAATTTTTTTCTGTAAAAAGTATGTCCAGTAATTTGAGTGTGGTCCTTCCCCAACTAGGCTCAAGAAGCCCAGCCTTCCCACCCCCAGAAGGGCCAGACTGATGGATTCTTGAGCATTTTAAAGAGAGATGAGGGTGGAAAGGGGAGAGGATTAGGAAAACTTAGGTCCTTCAGAAAAGGGATGGGAGAAAAAGTTTTTCCAACCAGACCGTCGCCCATTGCAAGGCCTACCGAGGGAGTTTAGTTTCAATGGCAGGTTAAAAATGCCTACTTCTTGCAACCTCTTGAGTCAGCTTTTAAAAATCTAAACAGATAGTTCTGTGTAGAAGAATATTCCTCCGGGATTGGGGAAAACACCTTGCCGAATTGGAACCCTGCAACTTTGAAACTGTTTTTTGACTTTTAAACCCCAGAGTATAAATCTCTCTCTCAATCTCTCCGTGTCTTTCTCTCTCTCTCTCTCTCTCTCTCTCAAAAACTCTCTCGCTCTCTCCCTCTCTCTCTCTCTCTCCCTTCTTTTCTTTCCTCGCCCTCTGTCCCCGGTCTGCCCAGGGTGCTAAGGCAGGCCCCAGATCCTCAGCAGCCTCATACAGCGAGCGGAGCGTCCTGGGAAACCTCCACCTCTGGATTTCAACATTAAAAGTTGTAACCAGTCTTGGAGGAAACTTCGCTCCCCCGTCCTCCGTCCTGCCCCCACCCTTCTGGGGTACGGGTTGTTTTTGCATGCTTCATTTGCTTCTTATCCTGATAGGCTGCATTAATCAGTTTTATTTCCATTGATAGAGAAACCTCGTCTGCTCTGTTCGAGCTACAAAGCGTCCTGCGAGCTTTTGTGAAAGTGCAAATCAGTTTAAGCAATTATCATACCAGGAATATGAAGGGGAAAGAGGAGGGCTTGCCCAGTGGTCTCCTTTAATCTCTTAATCCACAGATCCAGGGGGGCTGCCTGGACATAATTTAGGACAATCTCCCCACCCTTTACACTGTGATAAGGCCAAGTTACAATGCAGGGCAAAAATACAAGCTTTGTTAACATCCTGCCTTGAAAAGTTAAGATTAGACATTCTGTGCACGTGTGGGGACTACAGGGCACTATGGAAATTTTTCTTCCTCCCCCCCACCCGGTCCCCTCCTCTCTTTTAAAGTGGAAAGCATTCTTGATCTTTCTCCCTCTTTTTACTTTATTTTGGCCTGCCTCTCCATGTCCCTTCCTCTCCAGAACCCTGGCTGTTCCGGGTGCTCATTTTCACACAGACTCCTGGGAAGGTGTATATGTTGTGGGGAGACTTGGGTGCAGGAGGTTGTGGGGGGAGGAGGTGGGAGGGGGCCGCCTCAGGAGACCCAGGCTTGTCTCTGGAAGTGAAGGGACAGGTGCTGCCCTGGGTATCACGGGAAACTTAAGTGGGGATTTCGGCCCCATTGACAGCAAGACCTTAGTGAGGAAGGCAGTCCGGAGTTCTCCCAGTCACTGTTACATTACGCCATGCTTCTGTCTAGACAAGTTACCTTCTACCCACTTGCCCAAACCTAGAGTACCTGGGACCTGCAGGACAGACCTACTAAAATTCAGGCTGGCTTTTCCAGAAGAAAATGTCTCAATTTGATAGAAAGTTGATTTCTGCAGAACCATATACTTTTTTTTAAGTACAAGAAATTGGGGGGGCGGGCGGTGACTAAGATTTTTTTTTGTAAACGTCCTATGTAGTGAGTGTAACAGCAATAAAATCATCAGAGAATACCATTAGCTTTGGAGAAAAAAAAATCCACCTAAAAGCTTTATTACAAACCAAGCTTTGAAAATAGGGGGGATTAGGCGGCTGAAAGGGTCCCACAATGGTAAGAAGAAAAGGTTTCATGCTAATGAGGTTAATGCCCTTTGTATCTCAGGCCTCCACATCTTCATTACGCGCTATCTTCGGCTGCACGGAGCGGCTCAGAGGCCCGCAATCCACTCCAACGCCCCCCTTCCCGGCCCAGAGAAGGATTTGATAGCAGCTCTGTTCAAACTAGATAATTATATCTTTTCAAGTCGGAATTAAGATAAAGAAAGTGAAGCAGAGGCGGCTCGCCTTGATCCACTGCAAACAAATTTGGCGCACTTTCCAGGCCTTCCCCCACCTCCGAAAGGCAGGACAGTCAGCTTATTAGCCGCTCGTTTGCTTTATTAATTCATCTATTTAAAGTGGCAGGATTAGGACGTCTAATGTGGACGCGGGCTGCCGTGGCGCTGAAGAATATAAATATTTGCGAGATGCCATCCCAGGATGGCGATCTGGGCACGGGGCGCAGGGCAGGGTGCGGGCGTGCGTGCCTGACGACTGCGTGCGTTCCCCTCGCTGTGCGCGCAGGCCGGGCTGCAGCCTTTCGGACAAGGGGTGCCTGGGAGCTGTGTGTCCCGGGCCGGGTCCTCTCTGGTGTTTCATGGGTGCCAGCCCTGGAGGCCCCGGCAGGGCTCTGTGGGCATCGAGGGCCAGGTTCTGTGTTCCTCCCTGAACATGGCGAACCGGACGCATGTGGCCGTGTGTCCTGCCTGTTTCCCAACATCGGAATGTACTTGACATGTTTGATCCACGTCCGGCTCCCTTGTTGATTACCTGTGGGCCGTCCCTAGTCTGCATTTCCCAGAGCAAGTCAAAAAGGATGTATATTGCCTGTGTGCCCCAACTACGTTCTCCTTCCTGCAAGGTACACGTGGGCTCAGCTTGCGTTTTGAGTTGGGGATTCTGTTCCTCTTCGAGGCCCAGGGCCGGGCAGGAGGGAGGGGAGGTGGGGGCTGCGGGGGTGAGGGGTTCAAAGCATCAGCAACTCTGGAGGGGGGAGAAACCTTGGACCCCCACAGGGGGCATGACCCCTTTCTGCTGCTCCCTCTGAGTGTCCGGTGGCCCCAGCTCCGCTGACTCTGCTCCTGGCAGCCAAGCC